CATGACCCATCGGTCGGTTATTATAATCGAAGTAAAGAACTTCTCTTAAGTTAAGTTTGTTAAGAAGAAGAAGGAGTCTTCAATAAAGATTGATTTTTCAAGTTTAAGGTTACGATTGAAAGTCCAACGCGAGATAGAGAGCGGATGCAAGATTGAGCATCGCCAGCAGTCAAGAAGTCCAAGAGTTAGATACTCATTTGAAGGAACATAGAAGTTATGGTTATTACCTAGGATGAAGAGATAACGTAAGGAGTCATTATACAAGCCCTGTTTTATTGATGATTCCGGGACATAATCATCCTAAGGGGGAGATAATTGTAACGCCCGCAGATTCGGGCTAGCCAATTTAAAGACATTAAGCGTCAAAAACGACTTTTTGATAGAAGACTATTTAGAATGAATAACCTTAACCAAGTTATAGTATATGTCACAAGGGTTCCGTACATATAAAGAACGTTGAAATCCGAGTTATATCGAAGAAGTTATGACCCGTCGAAGTTTTACTGCTAAACCGGGACGGTACCGCGTAACGTAAAAAGTGAATTTTTGATAAAATAATATTTAGTCTTAGAGATCTAAATGAAAGTTTTAGTATACGTTAAACCGAGCGCGTGCATAAAAAGAACGTCAAAATCTGACTTCGTATGAGGAAATTATTATTTTTCTAAGATTTCGCATAACAGTATATAGCCAGGAATTTGAAATTTAGATCTATCGATTTGTAGCCGACACAACCTAATTGAGAATTTAATATCTCATTAGTAGGAGTTCAACGATAAAAAGACAGTCGAAAACGGAGTCCGTATGTAGAAGTTATGAATTTAGCACGGTCGTTAAGCGGTGTAATCTTCCCATACTCTTAAATTTAAAATCGGTCGATAATTAGCCGATGTAGTCAAAAGGAAAGTTGTATATCTTGTCATTACCTACACGTGGATATAAAGAACGTCGGAAATGGAGCTCGTATGCGAAAGTTATGCATTTTTAAAGATTGGATGTTTTACCTGCGTCCGACGCCACATGTCAGCACTAGCCTTCGCCTTGGTGCCTACGCAAAGCTCACGACGTAAGAGCCAAGTCTCACGACGTGAGAAGGCCCATACAGACTATAAATAGAGGCATATAACACCCCCAAAACTCACACCTTTCAACCTCTTTCTCTCCCAATACCCCCAAACCCTCTCTTCCATTCCCCAGCACTTCCCAAGTGCTAGAGGCGAGTCCCGGAGCGCCAGAAGGCTCCAAGAAGAAGAGCTTTCGACTCGGAAGTTCTTCCCCCGCAGAGCCTGGTTCCTAACCAAACCCCCTAGTAAGTGAGTTATGCTTACCCTACTTTAAGTATAACTTATGTTTAAGTTCATTACCGTTATTATGAACCTATAAACAAGATTTATCAGTGATTCCAAGTCGTTATACTGATTGATCTACTTATGGGGATGATGTCTAGGCTGTGATTTAGTGAGGTGTTTAAAATGGGATTTCCAAATAGTATACTTCGTATACCAAACGGACCCTACCTCCGATACGATCCTACCTGATTGTTCCTTACTTGATAGATCATGAAAGTAGACTTTGAGTTAATGATGAATCCGGATTAATAATTAGTCGCAATAAAGATTAGACTAAAACTTAGCGATAATAATCCTAGGTTTTGTCGAAGGAAAAGAGGATGTTAGAAGCGAAGCGCTGCCCGAGTTTGGAATCATCACTTTAACAAGTGAGTGCATAGTCCCTTTCATGAACATGATTTTAATACAAGTATTGAATAATGTATTAAATATTTGTTGGTGTGTGAAATATTTGATATTGCCTGAAATACATGTTAAGAGCATATCTGAGAAATATATGATGATACAGAGTAAACCTAAATTTATTAAAGGGAATATTGGGTAGTATCTCTTTATGAGTACGAGTGAGATATATACGGAGAGTCAAACTTTAAAACTTGTCATTGATCCGAGAACGTGGATTAGACTTAGTCATTTGTCCTTGGTTCGAGAGTATGGAGAGGACATAGTTATTTGTCATTAATCCGGGAGCATGGATTAGACATAGTCAATTGTCCCTAATCCTAGAGTATGGAATGGGCATAATTATTGATCCGAGAGTATGGATCAGACATACTCGATCCGGGAGTATGGATCAGGTAAGGAGGTTAGCTTTAGATCCGGGAGTATGGATCACGTAAGGAGGCTAGCTTTAGATTCGGGAGTATGGATCAGGTAAGGAGGTTAGCTTTAGATCTGGTATTATGGATCAGGTAAGGAGGTTAGTTTTAGATCCGATAGTATTGATCAGGTAAAGAGGTTAGTTTTAGATCCGGGAGTATGGATTATGTAAATAGATAAATTTTAGATTCGAGTGTATAGACTGTGTCGTTGTGAGGCTCGATTGGGTGGGATGAAATTGCTTATTTGAGGTGAAATTGTATATATTATGAGTTCTAATATATATATATATATATATATATATATATATATATAATATATATATATATATATATATATATATATATATATATATATATATATAGGGAAGGGTATTTGGAAAACAAAAAAACCCTAAAAAAACCCTAAAAATCATAAAAATGCATAAAAAAAATACTTAGAGATTACAACACTTTTTTTTAAGCTTTTTATAGAAAAATCACAGCTTTTAGTATAAAATCGCTGGAAAAAAAAATAAAAAATCAATTTTTTTTTTATAAAAAAAATTGGTTTTTTTTCAAAAAAAAATTCAACGATTTTATACTAAAAGCTGCGATTTTTCCATAAAAAATTCAAATTTTTTTTTGTGATCTCTAAGTATTTTTTTAGGCATTTTTTTTTTATTTTTAGGGTTTTTTTAGTGTTTTTTGTTTTCCATAGAACCTAAACATATATATATATATATATATATATATATATATATATATATATATATATATATATATATATATATATGTTATAACATTGTGAGATTGAAATCCCTATGTACTCACCATGTTTCCCAACCTAACCCACTCAGTTTATTTGTATCACAAGTGTTGATACGAAGCTACATTACATTGAGAGATTAAATGAGATGTAAATCACTAGTGTAAATGAACGTATGGTCTATTTTATGCTTATGTTTCTGTATGACGATGACATCCCAAAGTTTTGAATAAAACAAAATACTTTTTTTCGGAAATGCTTTTATAATTTATTTATCATGTTTTTCTGGAAACAAATTCCGCAATATTATTCTTTAAAAATGATACTCTGATTTTTAAATGAGCATAAATAAATTTTTTAAATTGACCGTGAATTTGGGGATGTCACACAGATTGCTATAACTTGAGTTTGGGTCCATTTGAGACATGCAAAGCCATCAAGTTGCCAACTTTATAGAAATGGGTCATGAAAACAATATGGATCTGTATTTTGGAACCTTAGATCTGAGGAAAAGGTTGTATAGATTAGATATGCAAGGGACTCGGCGAGTTCATAGAGGAACTCGACGAGTCCGGTCGAAAATCCCCGATCCTGTTCATGGAACTCGGCGAGTCGGCAAGGAACTTGACGAGTTGTACTAGGAAGTCCCGTTTGAAGTGTTCATATATTACCTGTATGACTAGCTGTAACTTGCTACAGCCGGTCATAATGGTCATATGTGAACACTTCCAACAAGTTCGTTACCTAGATGTGTACAAAAACGAAGAAGTTACCCGAATGCGAACAAACAGAAAAAATAGATATCCTACTAAGTCTAGACTCGTTTTTACTGGTTCAACCCGACCCGATGCATCACATGGATTTTTTACTTTTTAGATTTTTTGATTTCACTTAATTAGGAACCACGTACTATTCTATTCTAGATTCGCGACTGAGAGTGGACGGGTTGTTTACCTTTTGTCATTGTTATTTCTTCACTTTTTGTTAATGATTTTTATCATTAACCAAATAAACGAATTTGGAATAGACCGCACTAGACCCAATAGATTCCATTGCATTCTGATTTAGATAATGTTTGTCAATGTGCTTTTTTTTTGTGAACTTCAACAAATATTTTCTATGTATTCGATTATTACTTCTATCACTTGGGAAAAGATTTTTTGAGACTGAATTGAATTTTTTCCGTTTGGTTTCGGTTTAAAAAAAAGCCAAATTGAATCGAATTATACTTACCTAGTCTCTCTAACAAAAGATGTTGATGGGTGGGTCAACTTGGTGTGGTTCAACCGGTTTAACCCTGACCGAGATAGCCATCTGTCATGTCCGCATCACTACTATACAAAAGATAATCTCATGCTTCACGTTAAAAAAATAAACCTAGACATTCTTATACTATATTAATTCATAACGTCCTTAAGAATAGTATATTTTAGAACAAATTACTTAAATCGTCCCTATGGTTTACCAAAATTTCATGTTTGGTCCCTATATTTTGTTTTACACCCGGACAATCCATGGTTTTGTTACGTTGTAAGTCACTGCCTAATAGGAAATGACTATAATGCCCTTAATATTTATTTTTCAGTTATTTATTAACTTGTCTACTTAAAAATAAAAATATGGTTCCCTCACCCATCATCTCTTCCCCTATACTTACTTTCTCTATCCCACTTGAGAAATCTGAGATCAAATCCAACCCCACCACCACCCACTCTAGCAATCAGAAACCACCATCTAACAACTGGAAACCACCACTGAGAACCTAAAATCAACAAAGTTTTTGAGCAACAATCATCTTCCGATTTCCAACCAACAACGAGACCTAATTTTGGTTCTTGCTAGCCTCCTTCTTTAGCCCCCAATCTCAGTAGTTTTTTTTAATGCAAATTCTGTTGAGTCTCCAACAAATAAATAACCCACCATAAAATTAAAAATCGATGCAGGGACGATAATGACTGAAAAAAAAACAAATCAAAACTGATATAAGAGAGAGGGATAGAGAGGAGGTGGAGGCGAGAACCATGGGAGATCAAGACTGCAAAATTCAAAATTGAAAGATGGTGCAATAGCTTATCGCCGATTCCGATGGTGCTTCGGGTAGTGGTGATTCTTGCTTTGGACATGGGTGAACCGGAGGTGCAGGCGGGTTTGAGTTCAAGTGAAATCGAATGAGATCTCACTTTCTAGTGACGAAATCAATGAACCTAATACGAATTCGAGTTCCAGATTAACCTACGATGAGCATCAGGTGATGATGATTAACCATCGATGAGCTTCATATTAAATCTCAGGTGAAGAACCGGAATTCAATCATCACAGGTAGATCTTCCGACAGCGGTGGATATTGTTTTCCGGTGGTGATGAAATGGGATTTCGAACCTGATGGCTTCACAATGATTTGATGTACCGTTGTTTTCAGTGGTGTGCTTCACCAGAACTGCATGCTAGTTGTGATACCGTGGAAGGGAAACAAGATCAGGGAAGTGTAGACGAAGCATGAAGTCTCTGACCTAAGGCTTAACATAGTTATATTGTGTATGTGTGTGTTTCAGTGTGTGTTTTTGGGTTGCTATTGAAAATTTGTGATTTGGTATTTAGGTTGTGATAGGAAAGAGAGCTATGAGAGATACATAGGAGAGAGAAGATGGCTCATATTTTATCTCTTTTCTTTAAATTATAAACAAATACAAAACAATAAATGATTAAAAAAAAGTTCATAAGGCATTATAGTCTTTTCATATCTGTCACGGACGAAAAACGCAACAAATCCGAATGCAAAAAAAATGTTAGGGGCCAAACACAAAATTTTGGTAAACCATAGGGACGATTTAAGTAATTTATTCTATATTTTATCAACTTAACAAAATTGGCTACAATAGTTATTGCACGTTGTCTGTTTCGATCCTCCTCTTGTTTCCACCGCCGACATATAACCCTAGAGCTGACAATAGGTCGACCTGAGTTGGGTTCGGAACTCATTTATTAATTGGGTTGAGTATTTTAACCCAACCCAACCTTTTTATTTAAAATTGTGGATATTTTCAACCAAACTCAACCTTTCAAATAAATAGGTTGTCATTGGATTGACCCATTTATATAATTCTCAACTCAACCTACTAAATTAATGGGTTAAACTTGGGTAACCCATTTAAAATAATAAAGGTAAATAAATTAACTAAATATTACACCACTTAAATTAATACGAAACTTAAATAAACTTTCAAAGTATAATAAAAGCACAATCTAAATTCATAAATACAAAAAAATTGTTCAAATAACATTATAGATATGTAATTTCGAAGTAATTTTGAAAAGTGATTAATGTTGTTGGCGCAAAGAAAAAAAAGATTAGAATTAGGATTGCATTTTTTAGAATATAATAACAATACAATATTGTAATTTATAAATTAATATTTAGATTAATACATGATAATATTTAAATAATTATTAAGTTAAATATATATTAAAGTTAAATTGGTTGGTGGGTTGAACACGGGTTGATAACTTATATCAAATCCAACCTATTTAATTAAATGGATTAGACAACCTAGGGATGAAAATCTCAATCCACCCTACTAATTTTGAGTTGGGTTAGGATTGGTTTGGTGGGTTGCTTGATTTTTTGAGAGCCGTATATAGCCCCACCTCACACGGCTTCCAATTAGATCCATAACTCTTAAACAAAGAAAACCCAACTGTTTTGATCATCCTCTTATTTTCCAGAAGCTTTCTCTATAACTTCCCCAAATTCCCTCGATCCCTCGCCGTAAGTTATTCACTTTCTTGCAGGTTGAATCCAAGCAATCAATTTTAGGGTGCTGTGTTGTATTTTATGCTCCAAACCTGAAATCGACGTTGTATTCTGTTTTGTCCTGCTCTTTCTTTTAGGTTGGTTTGCTTCTTTTTTTTTTTTTTTTTTTTTTTTCATTCTTCTGATTTCCGCCTTCCAAACCTGAAATCGACTGTGTGTTATCATTTAGTAAAAGATACCGAAAAAAGAAAGAGAAAGAGACATACATCAGTCTTCCCGATAGTATCAAAATTTACCAAAACCCTAAGGATCAAGAAGTAAAAAAACTCTAACTTGAATGGATCCTTGCTCAGAAAGCTCTAGCAACAGTCCCCAAGATTCCGGTAGCGTCTCCACTGTTGCATCTGGCTCCTCCTCCTCGCCTCCAGCAGTGGCCACCACCCCTAGCCGCTACGAGAACCAGAAACGCCGGGATTGGAACATCTTCTGCGAGTACCTGAAAAACCTGCATCCACCACTCTCTGTTTCACAATGCAGTAGTGCAAATGTGCTTGGATTCCTTTCTTACCTTGACCAGTTTGGAAAGACTAAGGTTCATAACCTGACATGTCCGTTTTATGGGCATCCGACATGGCCAGACCCTTGTCCTTGTCCACTGCGACAAGCTTGGGGTAGTGTGGATTCTTTGATTGGCCGTCTTAGGGCGGCTTATGAGGAGAACGGTGGTTCATATAAGACGAACCCTTTTGGGGCTGGAGCCGTGAGGCGTTACCTTCGAGAGGTTCGTGATTCGCAATCAAAAGCAAGAGGGATCAGCTACGAGAAGAAGAAACGAAAACGGTTGCCTCCACAAGGTGATGTTTCTTGAAGTCAACAAACACAAATGAAGCAGGAAGCAGGTGACTATTATGTTGGATCTTGGTATGCGTTCATCTATAATTTTGTTTTTATTTTGTGTTCTTCCCATGTTGAATTATCAAGACTGAAGAGTACTTCTAACTCTTGTTCTTGCTCAAAGGAACTACTGCTAGTTTGTTTTCATTCGGATATGTAGAAGATAATGTCAAAAATGAAAAATCCTGTTATTAATTATGTACATCAGTTATGTGCGTACTATTCACTTTCCAAACCATCAAACTTGATCTCTTTAAATTTGTTTTCAAAACTAACATAAAATGCCAAAAACACTATATATATATATATATATATATATATATATATATATATATATATATATATATATATATTATATATATATATATATGCAATGACTAGTTTTGGTGTACTAGTCACTTGATTTTATCCTTTTTAGGTACAAGTCATTGGATGTGAAGAACATCCTTTTGGAAATTGTCTCACATCATATTTTGCCCCAAATGTTGACCTCTCCATTATTGGTAGATACTAGTGATCTTTTAAAGGGTTACTCAAGGTTCATGGATGAACACTTCAAGGAATCTGCAGATCTTACTTTTCTTGCATATCGTCATCGAAATTACTCAAAAGTATGTTATATGTTTTATATTTCCTCAATATTATCTCTTCATATTATTTATGTCTCACTCATATGGATTAAAATCTTTTATAGGCAATTGAATTTGTTCAATTTAATGAGAGATTGCAATGTTTAAGTCGGTACTTAATAGCAAAGATTGTGATAGGCCCTGATACTTTCTTGAATAAGACACAGATTCCATTGATAATCAAACTATGAACTGATAAGATAGATTAGGGTTTTCCCATTCATTCGAGAGGAATGGACTCTCCAAGAAGAACAAAGTTCATTCTACAAAATAATTCTTAGCTGCCTCAGTCATTCTACTAACTACTATATAAATACTACTACTAAAGAAAAAGACAAAAGGGAATAACAGCATGGCAAGGTGATATCCCCACTACATTGTCCCACCACTAACTCCAGCCTGCAAAATAAATAAAGACTAAACTGCCCTCCATACAGCAATTTAGGAAGCATGCTGCTCACAATAACTAGAAGTCCATGGGGCTTATCAGATTGAAGGCTCAATCCTGAATTTAATACGGAATGCAAATAGTATTGAAGAAGCAGAGGTATTTACCTAATTACCCCCACCTTTGATGGTCTATTTATATTTCATTCAGCAATGTTAAAATGACATATTATTCACTTTTTATTTTTTATATAATATTCGATCTTTACCTTTGTTTTCCAATTCCTTGATCCTATTTTGCAGCGGAATGGTGTTAAAGAAACGGAATCAAAGGTGACAAGAACAATCAAGAAAAGGTCACTACTTCCACGTATGATCCATCTATCAATACAATGTGCTTCATCATCAGTAAAAGTCAATTCCAGTTCCGACATTAATGGTTTTCATTCCAAAGCCTCCTCAGAGCTCAAATCCTTGCTGGAATCCTATGCAAAATTTCTACAACTCCCATTCCACGATGCGGTGGAGCTTGTTACCAGTGTTGCATCCGGTCAAAAACCTTTGGAGGTTTTTTCTCCAAATCTGATTGACTGGATGAACTTTGCTGTGTGTTTAAACGCCTGGAATCTGAATTCCAACGGAATCACAATTCCGATGAATTGGGAACTTTTATGTTCATTACTACAACAATCCGTTTCTTCAAAGATAAAAACCGCAAAACCGTTGGTATCTTTCCCGGGAACCAACCTTTCCATTCTTGTCCAGTTAGTGACGGAGCCGCTGAGGTGGCACGGTCTCATCATCCAGTCATGTGTCCGGTCAGCTCTTCCATCTGGTAATTACTTTTTCGGTTTGTTTACATTCTGGTAACATTTTTTTTATACACATCTAGGTAACAAACTTGTTGGAAGTGTTCATATATGACCATTATGACTGACCGGTCATAATGGTCATATGTAAACATTTCCAACAAGTTCGTTACTTAGATGTGTACAAAAAAACAAGTTACCTAAATGTGAACAAAACGAAAAGGTAATTACCATGATAAGTCAATTTCTCTTCTTTTTTATTTTACCTTCTAATTTTGATTGGGTATAAAATTTAACCTAAACGGTAAATATATTTAAAACCACATTGACAACTGACATACCAACTCAACAATAAATATGGAAATCACCATCCATGGCACAGCTAAGCTGTCACCGACAACTGTAGCCGAAGCCGAAACACTTGGGATTTGCATACCTACAAAACATGTTCAATTCGTTAAAGAAAAACAAACAAGTCATGAACCAAAGAACTGTAATAGAGACTAAAAGTATAATAGAGACTAAAAGTATTAGAGATAAAACCAATAACATGAAGAATACAATCTTCAATGAAGTTTTTTCTATGTATTACACGAATTTAAAATACAAAAGATAGAAGTAGGTTTTATTTACATCGATAACATTGTTCTTGTTTCATATATATATATATATATATATATATATATATATATAGTTATTTGATAATTATGCTACCAAAAACGACTCCCAACATGCCGTCGACATTATAAATGCTCATAAATGGTCATACATATTGTTTTAAGGAAATTTAACTGAACCTATTAATATTGCAAACATTATAATCGACGGTCTTAATGAAAAACAACATTGACTTGTCAGGGTAATTATTTTTTCATTTTGTTTACATTTGGGTAATTGTTTTTTGTATATATTTAGGTAACGAACTTGTTGGAAGTGTTCACATATTACCATTATGACCGTTGTAGCTTGCTAGAGCCGGTCATAATGGTCATATGTTAACATTTCTAAAAAGTTTGTTACCTAGATGTGTATAAAAATGAAAAAGTTATCCGAATATGAATAAACAGAAATATAATTACCCTGATAAGTCTATTTCCCATAACTCAATTATAACTAAACAATGACTTTGTGGACACGAATACCTATCCAAAGATCAAACCATTTTTTGTTAGACCAAAACATGAAAGTTGTAATTTTTATCCTTTTCTTATAACTTGCATTATATAATAAAGGAAAAAAATGAATTAGAACTTCAAAATTTTAAAGTAATTTTTAGAAGGAGCTTTAATCATTCAGTCATGTTATTTGTTGGTAGCCAAGACCTTCAAAAAAAGCTACTTATTTTTGGATTGGACCAAACTAGACGCGTCTTGGAGTGGACGGGTTGTTCACCCTTTGTCATTGTTGGTAATTTCCTTACTTTTTGTTAATGATTTTTGTCAATAACAAAATAAACGAAATTGGAATAGACCGCACTAGACCCAATAGACTCCATTGCATTCCGATTTAGATAATGTTTGTCAATGTTTTTTTTTGTGAAATTCAACAAATATTTTCTATGTGTATTCAATTGCTACTTCTATTACTTGGAAAAATATTTTCTGAGACGGAACTGAATTTTTTCGGTTTAAAAAAAAGCCAAATTGAACTGAATTATACTTACCTAGTCCCTCTAAGAAAAGATGTTGATGGGTGGGTCAACTTGGTGTGGTTCAACCAGTTAAACCGATAGCCATGTGCCAAGTCCGCATCACTACTATACAAAAGATAATCTTCTGCTTAATGTGAAAAAAATGAACCTAGATGTTCTTATACTCTATTAATTCATAACGTCCTTAAGAATAGTATATTTTAAAACAAATTACTAAAATCATCCCTGTGGTTTACCAAAATTTCGTGTTTGGTTCCTATCTTTTGTTTTACACTCGGACCATCCCAAAGTTTTGGTTTTGTTACGTTGTAAGTCCATACCTAATAGGAAATGACTATAATGCTCTTAATATTTATTTTTCAGTTTTTTATTAACTTGTTCTAATTAAAAATAAAAATATGGGTCTCTCACCCATCATCTCTTCCCCTATCCTTACTTTCTCTATCCCAATTGAGAAATCTGAGATCAACTCCAACCCCAACAATTGGAAACCACCACCCACTCTACCCATCAGAAACCACCACCAACAATTGGAAACCACCACTAAGAACCTAAAATCAACAAAGTTTTTGTGCAACAATCATCTTCCCGATTTCCAGCCAACAACAAACCCTAATTTTGGTTCTTGCTAACCTCCTTCTTTAGGGTAGAAAGCCCCCAATCTTCGTAGTTTTTTTTTTTTTTTTTTTAATGCAAATTCTGTTGAGTCTCCAACAAATAAATAACCCACCATAAAATTAAAAATCGATGCAGGGACGATAATGACTGAAAAAAAAACAAATCAAAACTGATATAAGAGAAGGATAGAGAGGAGGTAGAGGCGAGAACCATGGGAGATCAAGACTGCAAAATTCAAAATTGAAAGATGGTGCAATAGCTTCTCGCCGATTCCGATTGTGCTTCAGGAAGTGGTGATTCTTGCTTTGGACATGGGTGAACCGGAGGTGCAAGCGGGTTTGAGTTCAAGTGAAATCGAATGAGATCTCACTTTCTAGTGACGAAATCAATGAACCTAATACGAATTTGAGTTCCAGATTAACCTACGATGAGCATCAGGTGGTGGTAATTAACCATCGATGAGCTTCAGATTAAATATCAGGTGAAGAACCGAAATTCAGTCATCACAGGTAGATCTTCCGACAGCGGTGGATGTTGTTTCCGGTGGTTGAAGAAACGAGATTTCGAACCTGATGGCTTCACAATGTGTGACATCCCCATTTTACGACCAGAAAAGACCGATTTGTTTATGCTTATTAAATCAGAGTATTCTTTTAAAAAAGGATTGATTATACGGAATTTGTCCCAAAAACATAATAATAATATTATCAAAACATTTTCAAAGAAATGTGTTTTATTAATAAAAACTTGGGATGTCATCGTCAGTACAGAAACATAAGCATAAACGAGCCTTACATTATCTTAGACTAACAAACTATATCTCTTTGAATCTCTCATCATGAATGCAACTTTGTACTGCTACCTGTGATACAAAGAAGCTGAGTGGCTCAGGTTGGGAAACCTGGTGAGTACATATAGTTTTCAACCCACAATAATATAGTTAATATGTTTAATCATCGAACAAACAATTAACCCAATCACTCATCCCCGTTTTTTTATTTATTATTCCCTAAGGGTCATCACCTACATCGCGTTTACCGATCATCGCCTACATCGCATTTCCTTATATGCTTATTGCTAAGGACTTTTCTTAAGGATCATCGTCTACATCGCATACACAGTACTGTTTCGGGGATTACTCCCTAAATACGTGTCCAATAAGGGTTAGAGTATCATCACATGAATACGTAGTTACTACATCGCCTGAACTCGTAATTCATCACGTACAGGTTATGATGCTGGTGTTTCCACATGACTTGTTTAGATTAGTCAGTGGTCGCCATCTATACTCTCGTAGATGACTACATCGCAACATCGCAAGGCATCTCCTAGTCATCTCCTATTTATCATCACTTATTTATCATTACCTATCTACCCAATACATATTTATAAGTGTATAATTGATTGTGTTTTATTTATACACTAGTTTTAAATTTATAAAGTCCTATCTAATATCAACTAGTCTTAAACACAAATAGGCAATGTACCTAATCGTGAAGTAATATAGTTGTGGTAAGAAAGGGTGTCGAACACAGGAAATGTGAATGGTCTTGATCAAATAATTCAAATGTTAATTAAATTAATAACGGTAAAGTAAAAGGTGGTTTTTGTGTAAACTAAATTAAACTAATTTCAATGCTCAATTAATCAACGAACTAAAGAACTAAATGGAAACAATAGATAAGAAGTACTTCCACTAGAATACAAATCCACCAAGTTTCTATGCTTGATTTATTAAAAGTGCAATGGATTAATGAGTTGATTACCGAATTGTAATATGACTAGTTATCTTGGTTGGATTTCATAGTACTAATAATTATTGAACAACTAACACAATGATCATGAAATTAGTGAACACATAATTAATTAAATGTATTCAAACTATGAACGATATTATCTAGTGATTTCTTGTCAATGATCATGACAATCAATCTAAGCATAGCATGAATATCTAATGCTCTCTAACAGAATCAAAGTTATCGATTAATATTATCTAACCTTAAGCTTATGATCAAAGTCCTAGGCATACAAACCTAATGATAATAGATTCATATGATTCAAGTACTAAAGCTAGAATGATCTTCCGGCAGGTGAAGAATCAGAATCCAGTCATCACAGGTGAAGAATCAGAATCCAGTCATCACAGGTAGATCTTCCGGCAGCAGTGGATGTTGTTTCCAGTGGTCCAGAACCCATAGCTAGGATCCAAGTCCGATTGTTCAACACTCAGGGTAAAAGCCCATTTTACCATTTCCTCACTTGGCCTAAAATCTGAGGCCCACCAATAGCATCAGAAGCCCATTATGGCCCAACTTCCTAATTGGCCCAAAACCCATTTTGGGCCTAATCCAAGGAGGCCCAACATTCCTAAAATATACCCAAAGCTCCAAATGGGCCCAAGCACCAAAAGGCCCACATACATAAAACTAGGGCCCAAAAAGGCTCAAAAGCTAAAAAACCACATCTCATGTCGTGACCAGCCTTGGTCACGTCGTGAGACTCAATCAGATCCCAACTCATCACGACTCAACCTAGCCAAATTCGTCAAAGGAAAGTCAACGGGACTACTCTCATGTCGTGAGAAGCCTTGCTCACGTCGTGAGCTCCAAACAAATGACCAGAAACGGGACCAAACGCTTCTCGCGTCGTGAGACCTTGTGTCTCACTTCATGAGAACAGTATGAGGCTAAAAACTGAACTTTTAAGTCCTTAATCCATTAAGCCTTCAATCCTACTTCTTTTAGAAGCTAACAAGGATTCCAAAGGCCAATAAAAACGATTACTTGATGGACATGCATGCCCAAGCATGCCCTAAACCCATCTTAGGTCAAAATAACAATAAATGGCCCCAAACTCAAACAAGATTCATAAATTTTAATCACACTTCAGATCCATAAGACTAAATCATAGAGAATGACCCATTGATCCATAAAGTTGCCAACTTTATGGATCCCAAGCATGCAATCCCACATAAACATGCAAAGATGAGCTTAGAACTTAAATCTGTCAATTTGAGCTCATAAAGATTGGATCTTGGACACTTACAATGGTCCAAAATGTGCACAAGATGATGATGATAAAGCCTCCTTGCTGAACCAACACTCTAGAACCTCTTCTTCTTCTTCTTCTAGCCACCAAAACACTAAAATGGATCCAAAATCACCAAGATGGATTAGGGTTAGGGTTTTTAGAGTTAGGGGAAGGTGGAGGCTGAGAAATGAACCCTAAAACCGAGTTAAGGGGGCTTAAATACGTGGGAAATCCTAAAACTTCGTGGGCTTGGGCTGCAGTGATCCTTACGTCGTGAGCTCTTATTGCTCACGTCGTGAGCTCAGTCTCGGATGGAATCTTCATGCGACCCTCCTCACGTCGTGTGCCTCCACGCCTCACGTCGTGAGGACCCATTTTTCTTTTAAATATAACCTTTTGACCCTCTGAAACCCAAATTTGATTCATCCAAGAAAATTGATGTTGCAACTCTCCCCCACTTAAATTAGATTTCGTCCTCGAAATCACTCTTTACTACTTCCCAGCCACATTGGACAACTAGAACACTTCTTCCACTACCCCTAAAGAATAAGCATTACTATACTGCCTGAAATCCAAAATTCTAAACCCTGACTGACTCCATGACAGACAGCCCATGGTGAAATACTGACATTACAATTCCACTTCGTATTCCGACTGATCATAACACTCCCATTCCTTGATTATCTTGTTGTTTCCACTGAAAACAAAATCACTGACCGATCCTTGTTGCTTAAACGATACGCTACTGCTAAAATTCTGAAATCCCATAACTTGCCAGACCTACACACATGCAAAATCATTCCAAAGCACAATTACAAGGGCCTTTTCTACCATCCGAACTGAAAACATCCCTTTTTGACCCTGAACCCTCCAGTTGATGTCTTTGGCATACAAATTCCTTAATTCCTATATTGTTGTAATAAAGATCTTGCATAACCACACTAACGATTCCCAAAGCGTGTCTCGACCAGAAGCCAACTTGGTACCTAACTCGAAACCCGAGATCTAATGATTACACTAGAATTCACCCGAAATCTTCTGATTCACTGCATCCATTCACCCAACTAGGATATAAAAATCTCCAATCCACCGCAGAGACTACCAGCCTCACACCCGGTTCAGCCACCAGGTTCTTGAGAGTCCAACTGATAAGGCTACCCTAGCCTATGCATCACCCTTTCCACTCACTAACCGCATAACATCCCACTAAATCCATGATCCAATACCTTGACCCAACTGGTCTCTACCAGGTCTCACCTGTACTGCCATAATTATTCGGGCCTCGCCCACGGGTCTCACCCAGTCTATACCAACAAACGGGCCACGCCCACGGGTCTCACCCCATCGAGAGTTATACATGCCTAACCTCGCCTCGGACCCGAATGGTCCTCCCCCTATAACAGAGAGATGCTCTCCGACCCCACTGTTTGCCTTGCCCAAGGCACAAGCTGATCATCCTTTATACTCATGACCACCCCAACAATAGTCTAACTCAATCTGGTGAATACTACGCTCCCATCGTAGACTTACGACACTTCCATACTATCTGCCAATCCACTGAATGCTACGACCACCCCGCAATCTTCCGACACCTCAAACCCGCCATGGTTACCACCCATGGTCTTACCACACCTATACCATATCAACCCCAATCATCCTGAGTCGAACCCGCATCCAATTGAATTCCAATCAGGTGTTCGGGTCATGCTTCGAACCCCAAAACCTTCATCAAACAAGAACACACAGTGATGCTCTAACACAACCCTCAACTTGGATCCATCCACATGCCTTCTATACATCACAAAGAAGACGCCAACCAGCTGTTGGAAGTTTACTGGACTCCCAACTTACACAACTTCAATCCAGACGACCACTTGAGTCGTCTCCCCTCCCGACTAGGATGTGGAACTTACCCTAGTTTCACACCTGATCTAGCTCCCGGAATTTTGAACGATACTCCCCCACTTGGATTCTTCGAAGCTCTCCCAACTCATAAAATTTGATGGATCCCCAACTCATCTTACCTTCTTATAATTCGAACCGCCGACGACCTGCGCTTACTAATACTAGTGTTCCACAACTAGCCAATCTCGGTGATCGCATAACTATTGAAATCCAAATGAATACGCCTCGAACTCTCAAC